ACCCTACCTCATCCTCTGCCTTGCCTGGGTCCACCTTGCAGGGATTCACATTCCTGGGTGTGCTCAAATCTCCACACTGAGAAGTCTGCCTGGGCTTAACCCTTTTAATTGGGAAATGTTGCACATTTCAGACCAGAAAATACTTGGCACCGTTCAGCCAAGGATGTGGAGGTGGCCTTGGCTCCATCTTTCTTTTCTGTCTTGCTTCAGCTGCTTTTCAGAGAAATAACCCTTTTTTTTTAACAACCGATGCCTGGAAATGCATCTGGAAAGCAATGTCAGGATCCTTTTTCTGTGTCAGCTCAGTAATATTAAACAGGAGTGATGGGAAGTGTTGGTGAGGACAGGAGTGTCTGTGTCAGAGGATTCAAGATACTGGGCTGAATCCAGAGAAATTGAAGTTGCTGGTGAATTTCTTTTAATTTCATTTTCTTACACGGAGCATTTCAGCATTAACGAGTTGTTGACCGTGCAGTTGAGAGGTTTAGGCACTGATTTGTACCATCCCTAGTTTAAAATACCACACAAGATGTCTTTTTTTTATTCTTCTAGGGAAATGCGATGTCTAAATAGAGCACAATGATTGTTCAATGAAGTGAGCCGTTGAACACAGTGAAGTGAAATCTTCGCTCCCCTTTTTCCCCTCATTCCTCAGGAGTACAATCCTAGAAAATACCTTAATGCAGACTTAGCTAGGTCCCTCCCAGCCTGCAAATATTGCACTACGAGACACTGCATCCCCTTTTGTAGCTAGCCTATAAAGCGTGCACAACAGCGGTGGGTATTTCTCTTGAGCAGCCCGTTTCTGTCACACTGGGCTGCCCAAATCCTTTTCCACGATCTGCATCGGGCCCTGCCTGCGCCGCTGCGCTCTGGGTTTTCTTCACAGGGCGGGGATGGTTTTGCCACGGGAGATTAATGACTGTTTTCTGTGTAGAAGGCTCGCTGCTGCAGAGACCTTGTGTCAGAAATGCAGGGAGGAGAGAAATAAACGTGGTCTGAGTAAGGCTGTCGGATGTCTCCTCTTCCTTTCACTGGGTTAATGCTCAGAGCACGCAGCAGAGGTGAGGGCAGAGCTGTGGGGTTTGGTGCCTCTGCTGGGAGGCAGGGATGGGGCTGCTGGTCCCTTGGAGATCCCTTGTGCTGGTTTCTGGGGTGTGTGTTTCCTGGGGTGTGTGTCCAGGTGCCCCTGAGATTTGAGCTCCATGCGGTGACACGAGTCCCTCTGGACATCCCAAAGGGGCTGGACCTGGGTCGTTGTACTGGGGAATCCAACACTTCTTGGTTTGAGGAGTGAGGAGAGGCTGAGGGAGATGGGGGCTTGTGGGGCAAGGTTGTGCTTTTGTATTTTAGAAGCTGTCTTAAGGGCCTGCTGGTGGGTTTATTGTTATTATTGTTATTAATATTATAATAATACAGGCATGGTGTTTCTCCCTTTGAAGAGGAGCATCTGTGTAGGAATGAGGAGCTGTGCCTGATGCCCAGTCCAGGTTTGGTGTGTGGCAGCACAGCCCTTTGCTGAGCGGCTCCCCTGATTTCAGAGCTGCGCTGCAGCCCCCCTGCCTGCTCCCTGCCTGCCTGAACCCGCCGTGCCGATCCTGCACGCTCGCCCCGTGGGTGCTGAGCCTTCGCTGGGGAGAGGGAGCGCGGTGGGAGCGAGGGAGAGGGCTCCCAGTCAGTGTGCAAGCGCCATTGTTTTGACACGGAGGCATATGGCACTGTCAGCAACAGCAAAAAGAAACCCCACAGCAGATGCTGCAAAGGCAGAAAGCTGGCAGCAAACAGCCAGGCCTGCAAAATGCCTGCTTCGCCGTCACCGTGTGGTGAGCCTACACGGCACGGTCTTGCCGGGGCTGGACCACGCACGCCACTGCACCTCGGGGCTGACCACAGGTGAAGTCTGACTGGGGCTGAGGCACTGGGGCCATGCATTGAGCTGGGAGCTCCTCTTCTGCTCAAACAGACCCTCCCAAGTCCCTGGCTCCCAACACACACTCGTAATCCCTCCACTCGACACCGCTCTGGTGACCTGGCTGGGTTCTGGAGTGCTCAGACCTCCTGAAGGAGTGGTGCTTATCTCAGCTGCTCAGAAATGAGCTTTTGTGGCTGTTTCTGAGGCCAAATTCTGTGATCCTGCCCCTCTGCAGCTTCCACTTCACCCCAAGGGGTTGGAGCCCCAGTTATCGAGCTCTCTTCCTCTGTGCTCACCCTGTGGAGCAGCTGGAGCAGGGACAGGGCACAGAGATGGGCAATTTCTGCTGAGGTGGAGCTAAGGACCAAGGCAGCTCCTTCCTCAAGTCAAACGGCCTCCATCCGCTGCTGTCTGATGGGGGGACAGTGGCTCTCGCCTCGAGGTGCCATAACTGCGCGCCTGCCCTTTTCCACCTGGGTCTTACCCTGCTGTAGCACAAGCAGTTTGGGGGGGGAGGGCTTTTCTTTGCCCCCTTCCAGGTAAAATGGGCATTTCAGGGGCCCGCAGCTGCAGAGGGCTTGATCTGATGGCAGATGTGGTCCCTTCTGGTGCTCCAGCTTGAGAGGAGGACTCTGCTGCTGGCTCCCCACTGCTGGGGCCACGCACCCCAAAACTCACCCTTTGGGTGCAGGGCAACACCAAGGCCTGGGCTGGGGGGGGACAGCGCATCCTGTCGAGGTGGGGGCACGCACGGCCTGGCCCTCCCTTCTGTGCATTCGCAGAGGAAACGCTGCCTCGTCTAAATTTACATGTGACTTGGCAAAACGTACGCGTGTGTCATTTCTGCAAGAGCAGCAGCCGGCTCTGCTGCGTACACATTGTGGTGGTAATAGAGGTGCTTGAGTTATAGTGAAACTTATTTCATTTTACAGCTCCTACGGCGTTAACAGATGTACGGGCGTCTGATCCAATCATGCAGCAAGAGATTTTGGGGCCCGTTCTTCTAGTTTTGACAGTGTGTAAGCTAGGAGCAGCCATACATTTTACAAACAAGAATAAACGACCCTTAGCAACATATGTCAGCGCTGGCAGCTCCGACGTAATCATAAATAAGGAGCCCTGCTAGGCAGGAATGTATCTGGGCTCTGCATCCGGCCAGGGCGGACAAAGCATCTGCCTTCCTCCCGTGATATTAATGAGGTGCAGGCACTGGAATCCCTGTGCTGTGCGGCTGGAGGTGCTGGCTGGGGACAAAGGACTTGGGGAAAACAAATGCTGTCCCACAGCCACGGAGCTTTATTTGTTTGAAAGCCCGTGTTTCATTTTTAGTGACTCTTCGCTCCTGCCCGCTGTCTCGCCAGGCTCTGTGCATCGCTGCCCGCTGCTCCGTGACCGATTGTGGACGCCAGCTCAGCCACGCTACAACTTTTTCACCTATTTCTGTGTGCAAGGTCCTTGCTTCAGCCCCTTGCTGGGCCCACGCTCACCTTGGTTTAGGCTCAGCCCTAAATCCAAGCCCTGGCTCACTCCGCCTGCTTAACCAAAACACCAGGGTCACCCTGACACCGGCCTCCCTCGGCTCCAGCCCCGCAGAAACAATTGCACAGACGCCTTTGGGGAGAGAGGGGAGCTGGAAGCTGTGTGCCCTAATAAATTTAATCTCTACATGACGTTAAAGGGGAGCAGCTGAATTTATTTCTCCTTGCAATCAAAACAATACGAGCTTTGGTCCCAAAACAGGAGTGAGATTTCTTTCCCCCCAGCTGGAAAAAAAAGAAAATACTGTAAATCCATCCTGGAACTGATTTATACAGCGTTCATGAAGAATTTATACCGCCAAGAATTTTATTCAATTAAACTTGAAAAGCCTCTGGATTCTGAAGGTTCAACGGTGATCACCGAGACAGAGCGATCGTAAAGCAGGACGGCCTGTCTGGAGCAGGCACCGAGCAAACGCCTGATGTGACACTGCAGCTGTGTACAGTCCAAAGCAAGAGCATTTGTCACTGGGATGCGTTACAGGCTAAGGCTTGGAAAATGACTCTGTGAAAAATGTGCATTAACAATAGCAGAGAAATATCTGTTTAAAAAAAAGATAGGGTGAGTAATGAGACGGCGCTATCTGTTAGCACTGGGCATTCCTCACTCTGACCCCGCTCTGATTAAAAAGTTAATGCAAAAGCCAGAGACTCTTTGGGGAAGCAAAGTTTAAGGTTATTTCTAGTTAAATAATTGAACAGAGGACGCAGTTACTGACTTAAGAGCTCCCACTGCTACAAGAGGGGTCTGTGCTCTCGGGGCAGCTCCACGTGGGGTTAACCCCAGCCACTAAACAGAGCTTAAAGCAGAGAATTATCTCGCAGGTGACCCTGGGATTTGGCCCTTTAATCCCTGTGTCAGCGGAGCCCCGTTCCTGTCAGGGTGTGCTGGGTTGTCAGCATGGAGAGGTTCTTCATGGGCATGGAGGGAGGCAGCCAGAGCCAAGGAATTCTCCGTGTGCTCCTGTAAATCTGCACAGCTCGGCTTCCACCAGGGCTGATGGATTGAAAGCAACTTAGAAAAGCACGCTGGGCTCGGTGTTGAAGTACGACAGTTAAGGGCCCTTTGGAACAAGTAAATCACATTTATTGTTTCAAAGCTCACGGACACAGTTCCTGAATCTCTCCACAGTTGCTGTTCTGTATGAGGATCACAAAGAGAGGCCGATTGTTTCCTCCTCTTCATCCCTCAGAGCCTTCCCACAGCACCTGTGGCTGCCCAGGGAGATGAAGACATCTCCAGAAATCAGCTGTGGTTCTTTGAAGTCTCCTGCCCCAGCTCCCACCCGGGGCAAACAGTAACTGCGATGCCATCACCGCAGCGTTATACAAGGGATACTTGGACACGGCCCAGGGAACAGAACAGCTGTGCTCCTCACTGCGTTTAGGAACAAGGTCCTCGTTATTTCAACTGGAAGTTCTTGGCAGCTCACATT